GAGAGTCCCCATTTATCTACTCACGTGAGTTTTCAACCTGTTGGGTTGACAGGAACTGGGGTGGAAACAGGAGCTCACCCTGTAATTAAAAAAGTGTTGATGGACATTTGTTATTTGCCAAGAACTTTGGAAATAATTGGAATACAACACATTAAATGACCATATTAATGGCTCAGAGCCTGGGCAGTTTATAAATTCTGTTTAACAAATATGTAACTTTACTATCTAAGGATGAGACTAATTCAACATTTTTCGTGTTTTCATTTATGTTCCTTTATCTTTTAACTGAATCAGACAGCACTTCAAATATAGGACTACATAGAGAATGTTTTATTTTAATTTTTGCTCTCCATTTCATTGTTCTGGAAATATAAAATGATGGAGGGAAAACTAGTGCATTTTATAAGGATTTCCTATTGTCCCATTTTCATTTAATATACTTAATTTTATTAATATAGTTTTGAGAAGAGTTATAGGATGTAAACATGAAGACATGAATGTGAGTTTGAATTATATACCAAACAATTAGAATGTATCACCACATAAAGAACTATGGATTTACCAGACATGAGACACAGCAAAAATATTATTCTTTTGTGACAGAAAAACGACGTAATCCTGGATTTACAACGTCGGATTGATGATTTGTGTTCACTCTCTGCTTATGAACTGGCTTGTTTATTGATCTAAAGGAAAGACTGATCAGTATTATTCCATGTGGTCAAGCATTAATGCCATGTTTAAAAGTCTCTCTGTGGGTATGTGTGTGTGTGTGTGTGTATAAAAGCTTGTACTGTCTATGTGTTTGTATGTCCATGTATATACACAGAGGCAGAGAATATGTGTATGTGTGTGTTTTGTGTGTGTGTGTGTGTGTGTGTGTACACAAACATGTTATATAGTATATTATAGCATGTTGTGTCTTGTGTTTTTTTTTAATTTCTCCCTTTATTTTTGAATATTAAACAATTGAAGAAAATTAAAAGAAGCAATTTCAAGATCCAGTTCTTCCTCCTTAGGTTCCTTTATCTTTTAACTGGATCAGACAGCACTTGAAATATAGGGTTATTCTCTGTAAAGCAGGTCACACAAGTATTCCAAAATCCATTAGCCAGGCTTTCTTTGCAAAGACCTCAGCCTTGGGCACTTGACACCAGGCATGCAAAGAGGATGCAGAATTCCACCTTAGTGCCGCAGTTTTCCAACGAGCTGTAGTGATTAGAGTGTTGGACTAAGAGAGGACAGCCATGAAGCTTTCTTGGGTTTCACAAATACTCTCAGCGTAACATTCCTCAGAGAGCAGGATAGGCTCCAGACTTACAGGTATCATCCTGAAAGTACAAAATGATTTACTTGGGGCAAAGATTTGACAGTTAACAGGGTGCAGCATCAGCAGTGGGACCCAAAAGACTCTTGATACACAATGAGGAATGTTGTCATTGCACCAGTATAAGGACTATGCACATATTTTATGTAAATAGCCACCAGAAGGCCCAAATAGTTTCATAACTGTTTTGCTGCTGCCAAGGTTGGAGAAAAAGAAAATCTTTTCTGGTGGGGTTCTTTCTGTTCCAAGAGTTCTAACTAGCAAATAGCAGAGCTGTACTGTTGATTTTTCTTTATATATCTATAGAGCCATTCTGAATGATATTTCATCCCCCTGCTCTCCAAAAGCTTCTAAGGTGAGCTACAGTGAACAATCTGGAAACAAATTACAACATGCCAAACATCTGACAATGAAAATAAGAAGTAACTAAAACCTTAAAAACTGAGTGTACAAATTGTACAATATGTATAGAAAACCAGCACCTCATAGGGCATTTAAAATCTGCTAGAAGCCAAGTTGAATGAAAATAATTGGTTCCCTAACTTTTCCCTATTTACATATAATCAAAAAGAGAGTGACAGCAAAAATATGAGGCCTAATTATGGATGGTGTTCAAGAAGATTACTGTGGTTGATAGCTTGAAGATTCTGAAGCTAACAATAACAACTAACTTTTATATCAATGGATGGGATAGGATGAACAGGCCTTGTGTACAATTTTTCTGTAAAATTCAAAGCTTGGATCTCAGGAGATGTTAATCCTTTCACATTACATTCTTGCTATTTAAATGGAGCAGGATGTCATGGGTTTTGGTCTAGCTCCCGGAAAGAGCTGGGTCAGAGACAGCTAAAGCTGTTTCTGAACCATACAGGAAACTGTTCTCGATGAGAAGAATTAAATATTAACCTCATGGTCTATCTTGCTTTCAGTTTGCAAACTCATCAATACTGAACCCCCTGAGAGCATGACCTAAAGTCTTTTACCTTAACAGACATTAACCAGCTTTGATTGACTCAGCCCTGAAAGCTGAAGGTTTGAATATTTAAAATTACATCAAGCTTTCTGCAAACATTAAGGGTTCACTCTTAGCAAACAGTTAAATGACATTTAAAGTGGCTGGGCTGGTTCCATCTTCTTTTTCATCTTATCACAAGAACAATGGATCAAAATGGAAACCAAAAAATTAATTTAAAAAGAAAACAGTAAGGTCATTGTGACATTGGTGACATTAAGGAGTTACAAGAGATAATCTGATATCACTTAATTGCTATGATACTTCCAAAGAGATATTGATCATCTGCATAGTTGAAATATATCCAGTACAGGAAGGAATTGGTGGATCTGTCAATTTTGCTCAGTTTTTCATTTTTCCAACATTACATTCATATAGTCCATTTTGGCATCAGGTTGCAAAGTTTGCTTTTAAAGCTGTGCATGAAAACACTTAAGCATTACATGTGCATTATGGACTTCAGCACATAAGGCTCAAAGTCTTAGGTTTCTGTTGGCATAGGCACATTTTGACTGACAGTTTTCCTTGCCCAATGGCTGCTTGGACTTCATCCCCAATTCATGCAGCTTTTCTTGTAGCTCTGCACACTTGCAAGAGCTGTGGGGGTGAGGTGGAAATCTGTGGTTCCCAGGCCAGAGATGTCCATTATGTAAACATACAATTCCACAGCTTCAAGGCACCAAGGGCCACATAGGCTGTGCATTAATTCTGGAAGGATGGTTGCCTAAAACATTGGAAATATAAAACTCTGGTACACTGTGGTATATGATTTCATTCTCAGCTGCAGTACAGATTCTAATTCTAGCCACACCACATCTGTCGGTCTCCTGCCATTAGCAAGGGGTCAAGTTAACCTGTGATGTGCCTTGACTTGCAAACATAAGGAATATGAAAGTGGTCTAATACGAAAGCTGCCCACCTAGTTCATCTATTCTACACTGATGGGCAGCATATGCCAAGGATTTCAGACAGGAATATTTATTATCCATGAGGTGTTAGGGATTGACTGCATTAAAATTATGGCCCCAAACTCTCCCTAGAAACCATCCAGACCCAAGAGATGCCTGGGGCAGGCTATCTGAATGGGTCCATGCACTCCATGGAGGTCCCGAATGGTAGTCCATGTTATCTAAAATTGGGCATGATCTGACCACAGCAAAGAGGTGATAGAAATTCATGTAACATCTTTGAGGCAAAACCAAGGTCTGACATATGACTACCTATATTTGTTGGGCTGGAGATTACCTGAGATTAGGCCATGGTTGCCCTGAAGGCCATGAACTCCTGGGCCTTACAAGACTCAGCCCCCAAGACATAGAGGCTGAAGTCCCTCAACACCCAAAATCGAGGGGGGGGCTCTACAAGCAGCCCAGAAACCAGTTCCAGGAGCTCAGGGAGAAATCCCAGTGGGTAGCAGGGCAGCCAGAAGACAAGCAGAATCCCCAGCTTGTCTCTATGGCCCAGTTTCACATTCATCCCGGTTCCTCGGGGGCAGGATCTCAGAAAGCATGTCTCTAACAATCAGTGCCACCCACTCCATTAATTAATTTACTGCAATAGTATTTATAGCTAGTATTTATGTATTCAGATAATGTAAATTGTTTTTGTCCTGTAACTTTTTGGAGTGTAGCTTCTGGCAGATTTATTTACATATCTATATATACATATACTGGTGGAGGGGGACTCTGGGACTTGTTTCTGGTGTCATGGAAACTCCAGGTTTACAAGGTGGGGAGCTTGGGAATGACACAGAAATGTGTGTGTGTGTGTGTCCGCACGCGCACACATGTGCATGCACGTTTGACTTTTTTCTGACCTTCTCTTCTTTTCTGGTAGTAGGGTATGTGAGCTTAAATCTTAAATCCAGGTTCCTCTCCTTTTGGATAGATATGGTATATGAACATATGGGGCTTTAGCCTTTGGAACCAAGGGTGGCTAGAAAAACATAATTTACATTAAAAAAAACAGTGATCTTCCTAGATATCAGTTGAACAATCAGCTCATAGCTTGGTTGTAAATATAGAAGTCACCTATACATGCACAACTGCAGTGTTATCTAATATTCCAGAAGATTGGAGGCAGAGTTAAATTATTTTTCCACTCTCTTTGTAATTCTTTTCAGATTCAGTATTTTGGATAACACATATCATTGTGAGCTTATTGTACTACATAAATGACAAATTATAGTTTTGAAATCCTGCCTTTTAACTCCACCAAAGTACCGAGTATTTAGATGTTTGCTTTCCTACCCAGAGCAATCATAGTGATTATGTTTTTTCTTTGTTGTCAGAAGGAGGAACATGTGAAGTTATAGCAGCACACAGATGTTGTAATAAGAATCGGATTGAGGAGAGATCACAGACAGTAAAGTGTTCCTGTCTACCTGGGAAAGTGGCTGGAACAACACGGAACAGACCATCATGTGTTGACGGCAAGTAATTTGTAGTGTATGTCATATGGATGTGGGTGAAACTTTACAAATACAAAGAAGTCTGAAAAACAAGAAACTTGGACTGGCATTTTAACATTGGGTTGCTGTTACTTAAGGCTTCCAGGTAGAATTGGTCGCCAAATAAATTTGGTTAAAACTGTGAAACATCAAGGCTGCAGTGTTGATCTTAACACTTAACAGCAAATAAAAAATATAAAGACTTCTGAAAACCATGAAGTTGCTATGGAAAAGAAGCAAAAGAACTTAGCAAATAGAAATCACACAGATTCAAAGCACTGCCATTTCTTTCATTACAAAATTCAATTTTAAAAGCGTGCAGGATGAACAAAGAATCTTTTTCTAAGAGATCTGAAATATGTGAATAAAAGACAGGAACGCCATAAAATTTGCAGTAGCCTGTTCGTCACTATTGAAAAAGCCATTATATTCCACATAATTTTTTTCTGGACACCATAGCACAAACTATTTCTTTGGATACCATTTTACTGCAATACAGCACTCCTTTCTCAAAGAGGGGATAGTTACTCCCACTGAAATCTTAGTAAATTAAGTGAACTCCAAACCTAATGGGACTGACAAAATTATTCTTCATTTATTTATTGGCATCATCTAGAAATGCAGGTTGCTGTTGTTTTTTAAAAGGTGTATTTAGATACTTCATGACATATTTCACTCGCTAAGAAGGGTCTGTAAATTCAGTAAATGATTTATTGAAAGCATGGCATTCATTTCCTCTATGATGCCTACGATGTTTTTTATGAATGGTTGTGAAATGGACTAGTAATCTAAGCAACTCATGTACATACTCCATATACATTGGAGTCTTCAATATGAACATACAGATGCTGTTCTCTTCTACATGTACAGATCCCCAAGGGTGCACTGAAATTCAGCAAAGCACTGGATAATCTCCACTGTGTTACCTGTATTCCATGATTTGCTGAAATAAGTTGCATTGAAATGTTTGTTTCTTGAGGGAGTTGACTCACTGGTCACTAGTTAAAAATAGGCCCTGAGTCAGCCATTTTGCTGCCTAAGGTAGGCAGAACATTCTGTTCCATAATGTCTTGTCTGCTAGCAAAAGACTAGCTTAGATGCAAGTGGGCCATTAGCCTCAAATTCAAAGACAGTCTTAAATTTAGGCACTTGCTGTCTCTGTATTTTGAACCAGGAGTACTGGTGGGGAAGAGGATCAAAGAAATCGAGATGGTGGGTATAACCACCTGATCCAAGTCCCATCCCTTTTAAATGTGTGTCACACAAACATAAAAAAGGGACAGGGTTCCCATCCTACAATCGCACCCATCAACTTGACTTTTTTTGACCTGCTCCTGTCTTTAACCTAAAAATAGCTGTTTATATATAGTGTCAGCTTTTAGAATTAGGGAAACTGAAATGCCCAGGCCCTTGTCAGTCTTTGAGAGGGTCTACGTAGGGGGCATCTGGAGTATAATTGACTCTCTTAAAACTGTTAAAGTGCAACATTGTCTAACACAGTGTTTCTCAACCTTGGCAGTTTGAAGATGTATGGACTTCAACTCCCAGAATTGAATTCTCCAATTCTGGGAGTTGAAGTCCACTCATCTTAAAGTCTCCAAGGTTCAGAAGCACTGGTCTAACACCTCAAGAGTAGAAGATAAAGCACAGAAGACATAGAGTTCTGTTGTCCAATAAATACAGTAGTTGCTGCTCCCTGCCTGGAGTGGGTTTCTCACTGAGCCTAATAGTAAGCTCACTACTACATGGGCTTGTAACTACTACTCAGAAGCAATCACAGGATTTAAATTGTGATGCAAGGAACTGAAGAAAGTATGTGTGGTTTGCATATGATATTGCTTTTAAAATTTCAAAAGGATCCCTTTGTGTTGCTTCTTGTTTCATTATCCTGATAGACTAATAACTGCAATGGCTGCAGTGGATGAGATCTTCTTTTTTTTCTGAGTCATCAGCAAATCAAATCTCACCTTGTAATATACTCCAGAAATGCTCCAAAAGCAGGATAAGATCATGTTATGTTTTCTTTTTCTTAATTTCAGTCTTGCTACGTCTCTTTTTTGTACATAAAGTTAATTCATAGATAAACACAAACATTATCATATGGCTATTTATATTAATTAGGGGTCTTTCTACAAAACTTCAACTTGGAGATTAATTCAGAATCACTGAATGAAATCTTTATTATTTTTTTCCAGCTGATAAAACTCTTAAGTATTTTACAAATCACAGTACAAGTGAACTCTATCCCACAATGTTCCTCTTGACTTAGTTCTTTAAACACACACACACACACACACACTGTGTTTCCCTTTCAACTTGATAAATGTTGTTAGAGACTCCCAAATTACAAAAATTAATTATTTTGATTTTTTTAAATGTACCTGCCTTTTTATATGATTCATTCTAATTAGCAGGATTGCCAAGACAGATGTACTAGTAGATTAATAGTTAAATTAACTAAAAGATTAAAGTGTCGGGCAGAGTGATAACCACAAACACTCCTGTTTGTGCAGAGCGCAGCAAAAACTCCAGGAAAATATTAGCCATGAC